TAAGCTTCATATATAAATAGACTGTAACTATAGCAGTAGAATCGACGATGGATATTTTTATTATCCTACTTGGAGGGACTTATCAACTGCACGGAAGTACCTATTGTAACAACAGAAGACAAGGGCCAGGCAACAGATCGTTTATTTAGGAAATCAACACATATTTATGGCTTTTCATGTACATTATAATAGATTATTGTAGGCAAACAAATACAGTCTTCTGATTGGTGGTTTCTCGTTGAACGTTAATCTTTCATCTCTTTGTGGCTGTTTCTTGAAGTTCAGATTATCTATCTGCCAATTGTATCCGCCTACGCAAAGTATGCCGTGATTAGTTGTTGAGTCAGTCTTTGTTTTTGTTCTTTTCTCATGACCAATATTGGGGACCTACACATTGATGTAAATTACTATCCACCAATTTTGGCTAGCAGCTAGCTCTCACCACACTATGACTCGAACTCAGCACACCTATCCTTCCTATTATTATCGCCTAGTTACTACTCCATATGCATTTATCAACTGACGATTTCCATTCTCACACTTATTGTGTGAGTGTCCATATAATCAGTTCTTTGCTTTCTGAATGCGAAATATTGGTCTTCAAGTATGAGCTTTGAGGTTTCACTAGCAGTGATATTTGTTTCTATTTACGAAGTCGGGTTGCTAGCCTCATCTAACTAAACCTCCCCCCCCCCTTTATCGGATTTACTGTCTACGGAAAGTGGTTTATAAACAGTGCGTCGCCCGAGGGGGGGGGAGAGTGAACTGTGGACCACCAGGTGTGGTGTGGTTATAGCGAACATTCTCTCCTATTGGACCACTAACGCACAACTAGAATAATAATAATAATAACTACTCCGATATCAAACAGTTACATTCAATGCAGTTCAAACAGTCGTCAGGAGTCTTTAATTCCTATTAATGTATGTGTATGCGTATGTATTAATAATAATAATGACGACATGCATGTCAAATATGCGCAAGACAACACCAACAATAAGGAATCTAAATCATCAGTAGTAATTCCATACAAGTAAGGAACCTCAGAAACCTTACACAGAATTCTTAACAAGGCAGGAATAAAAGTGACTGGTATTTAAACCCACAAACCCAATTAGAAACAAACTTTGTCGGTTAAAGGATCAGTCCTGTAGAGCCATTAAAACAAAACAATTTAGTTTATCTATTACCCTGCCTGCAATGATTGTCAGGTCAAATACATAAGTCAAAGTAGTAGAACAGGGGCAGTCAGACTAACCGAACATAAAAACCTAGCAAAATCTAGATTGGTTGACCCGAATAAGATAAGAAATCTAGAGAGTAGTTCAGCTGTAGCACTACATGCAATAGGATGGGGTAGGATGACAGTTTTCAAATCTAATGTCTCAGGGTGGAGGGAGAGATTGATAACTGAAGTTTTGTTTATCGAATCAATTGAAGAGAATACGTGTGATAGGAATGATTCAACACCTGTCCACGTCGACATCTGGAAAATTCTACTACCTCTACGACGACAAACAGGAGAAGACAAGGAAAACTATAAAACTCAAATTTCGAAGCCGTGTGATTATAATTGATATGATTATGAACAGTAATAAAGTTTGTTCGAAACGTCATTCAGTAAATAATACTGTTTCACTGCGTGATATATCTAATAAACAAACTAGTATCGAGTCTTTAATCCCCTCAGGTATATTTGATTTGTCACTAGGGAGTAACCAGTGCCCATTCGTCTTCTATATTAGGTGTTGGGTATAACTGAATTCTATCAGTCAAAGTTAGCAATGTGATTAGTAAACTACTGGATAACTCGCTAATTACGCGAGTACCCTCTGTAAATCAATTGATGCAAGCTGGTGATTTGAGATGATCACTGGAAAGAAGTCCTGCACACTTGTTAGAGGAAGGCATGTACGCAACCTCGAAAAGGGAACTATTTGAGTCCAAAGTTGACCTCCATAGAAGACAAGGGCCAGGCAACAGATCTTTTATTCAGAAAATCAACAGCTATTTACAGATTTTTATGTACATTATAATTCGTTATTGTTAGCAGAGAAACAGCATCTTCTGATTGATTGTTTTCCTGCTGAAGGTTATTCTGTCATCTCTTTGTTGCTGTTTCTTAGACAGTCCTGTAATATATCTGCGAATCGTATTCGCCCATGCTAGGTCTACTGTGATTGGTTGTTGAGATCCTCAAGGTTAGGCTGTCTTCTTACTTTTTCTCATGACCCCGGATTCGGGACTTAAACATTGACGCCAATTGTTGTCTACAATTTTGTCTTGCAGACAGCTCTCACTACACTGTGTAGCTTATTAAACGTCCTAGGATAAATGTGGCAGTACATACAACAAGATGCAGCTTATTCGTTGTAAGTCGTAGAATCGGCAAGTGTTGAATTATAACCCACTGTCACAATGTGGCTTATTGACTGTACTGGTATGGTTTTTAGTCAGTGGTTCGAGTTCCGCTTCAGTCAAACTGACTAAACTCGGTAAAAATCATCATGTCTTACACGATATAAAAATTTTTTCTGATCGACGTGACTTGGGTTCTAGTTATAATCCCAAGCATCCATCATCTGACTGGAGTAAGCGGGATAGGTGTTACGCCTACTGGTCCACACTTCATGTAGCGCGAAAAGGTAGGCAAAAGAAAGAAAATAAAAGACATTCTAAGTAAGGAACTATAATTTGAGCAGAAACGTACAGGGGGGAAGAACACTAGAGGATGGAAAAACATGGAAATTTAATAGATCTTGAAGAATACCCTCCAGTCATTGGTCCTTAGAATCTCGAGGACCCCCGAATCGGACAGCCTACACCACCTCCCTATGTGACTCAAACCAATTGTTAGAGATTTCATCGGCTGGTACCAGGTTTTGGTTTTTTCACCTGTCACTCTACTCCAAACTAATCAATCCTATGTAGGGTAAAATACCCCGTCGAGGAAGGCGATGACTCGAAATGCGTAACACATGTCTTAGCCATCTCAGAAGACTCAGTTTCACAACCTCCTTACCTAACTCTCTATTTCCAACCTGAACTTTACTCAACCTATTGTACCACCTAACAAGGGAGACAGAACTCAGACACCTGTTATCAAAGACTGTTAGTCACATGAACCTTTTCTATCTGTGCTGACTTGTAACTTCTCAAATAATAAAAAAATGGTCAACATGCCCAACCACTTCACTATCTACCTTTAAGCTAGGCGATTCGGTGAAGTCCAGTCCTCTAGCGTCATCTTATATTGGACAGAATCCAATGGTGACGTAACAGACATCAGAATTCATGCTTGGGTCATTGAGTAATTATTTTTTTTGTATCGTCGAGTATTTTGTTGTTGTTTGAATTTCATAAAATTTACGTCCTCGCCACCCCACCACCACCCAGACAAACGGTTTGTTTCACATTTGTAACTAACTGTGTTATCAGATTTAACGCTAACAATCTCTCAACTTCATGTGTGTGTGACTGGCAAGAACTGTTTGAGACATGAAAAATCTCTCTGAAAAATATGATGTTTATCTTCCTGTACTATAACAACTGTAAGGAGACTTGTCGATTAGTGTAGGAATGCTTCTGTTTCTCGTTTGGGTGTGTCAGTGTGTGTGTGTGTGTGTGTGTGCAGGAGTTTCTTTGATTGCATAACATTATGGTGAGCATTTCATGCCATTTTTGCCTTTGCTGGTATTACTTGCTATAGATAATTTATATAAAATTATCTCTATTATTACTACGTGTAATGGAGAAATATTAATCGATAGATTGACGCGTTCATCCATCTAACCAATGAAGATAACCGTGATTGATCAATATTTACGCTAACCGTTGTCATGCCTGTTTAAATCAATATTGATTGTTTTGTTGTTGTTTTTTTACTTATTTATGCAGTTTATATCAAGTTTGTTAACTATTAATTAAATTTGAATTATTATTATTATTATTACCTGAAGTTCCGATTGGAACATAGGGCTTGAACAACACCTCTCCACTTTGTTTTATTCTCTACTGTCCTCTTCAGCTGGGTCCACAATTCACCGTAATCTGTCATCTCTTCTTCACACGATTCCACTCGAGCAATGGCCTGTTAATAGCGCCTTGTCATTTAACGGCCTCCTCAACGTATACCCAATCCATTTCCATTTTCTCATACATATTTGTTGAGCAATCGGCTCTTACCTGTTGGTTTGTTCCCAACCAGCCAGAGTTTCTTGCTGCTGATTCTTTCTGACCCACCGGCCAGTCATTTGATCTTTAGCATGTAGCCAGCCAGCGAAGTGGGCAGCTGTTGATGCAAGTCTGCAACAGGCTGTTGGAAATCCTTTTCGTGACGCACACACAGTACAAGTTTATGACCCGTATAAACGGATCGACTTGACATTGGTGGTGAAAATGCGAATTTTGCTCCTTAGGCTGAGTGCAGAAGATTTCCAAACTGGTTTCAGGTTGATGAAGGCGTATCTTGACTTTCTGATGCTCTCTAGTTGGCTGTCTGGCTTTGACATCTTCATCCGTTCTGTCCGGCTGCCTGTGGTTGAAACGATGCTTCCTAGATAAGTGAAACCAGGAAATAACCTCTGTTAAATCTCTCTCGTGCCTATGTTTATTTTTGCTTTCCCGGAGACTTTCACCAACCCGCGTCATTCTGTCTCTCCAATTCCAGCGAAGATTAAGTTTGTTTTTTTATACTTCTCTTGTCCTTTGAAGTTCCTGTAGCAATTAGATTGATTTTCGCTGCGATAGGGTCTCTAACCCCATGCACCCCCCACAACCTTCCTTCTTCTCCCAGGGTTAAGACCACGAACTAGTAATCTAGACAAACTTGAATGCTTCTCTAGCTGAATTCAGTTTTTGTCGACCAATCTTGAAATATATTATTGAATTTTTGTGGAATAACAACATTTGGCGTGTACAATCTGTTTCTGTTCATCTATATACTAATTTGCATTCCTTTTGTGTGTATTTCTCAATGTTTTCTTTTAATGCTTTTCTAGTTACATTAGTGCACTTGCCGACCGTGTAACCGTGATATTCAGTACTGTTTTCAAAGAACCTGATGATTTAATCATTGCTAAAGTATTTCTTCAGGTAGGTAATATAACTCCTTTTCTCCAATTATTATTTCTGTATGTGTGCGTATTTTTCGCGTGAGTTGTATGTGTGTCTGTCTGTCTGTCCATCATCATACTGACTCAATGTGTGTGTGTTTGTATTTCTACTCTCTCTCGCGCGCGCTTTTTTGTATGGATAACACGTTAACCGTAGTTAATCAATCAGGTGTCAAGGTCAAGCAATTATTGATTTTTCATTCTCTTATTCTTCTGCTTATTATTATAATCGATGAATTATGCTGATGAGTTAGAAAGCTTTTTGTTTTAATGATTGTCATTCAGGTAGAATTGATATCTCTTTCACAATACACACTGTAGAGTATAACTCCATTATGAATAAGATTTTATTTTGATAAATCACACAGTGTTATGCAGTAATAATTACTGATGACGCTCGTAATCATATCAAGTCATTCACACAACTTTTTACTTCATGTATATACATGAGTGAAATTGATGATTAGACATTTGAATAGAAATCAATATGGGATAACGTACATTCAGAAATAATAATATGAGTATTATTGATCAAATACAATCAGATGGGAAATAAGACGAGTGTTTTTATAGTCAAAATAAATAAGTAACTTGTTATAATGTTATAATTAATGTATGTGAATTGAAATAGAATTTTAAGATTATTTATTATCCTCCTCTGATTTGACTAACTGGTGGTAATAATATCTTCCATATATCTGGTATTTGCATTGAGTCATTTCTGTTGCAAGTGTTGGGTGTAAACTAGATGAACCAGGACTGAGTAACCACTCTCTGTCTCTCTCTCTCTTCACCTACATAGATTACTTCTTAGAATATCGACTCTGTCGCACCCACCTTATTGTGTGGTTGTGTGTTAATGCATGCAGTGCAACTTCTGAGTTACTCTTTCTAAATTAATTATCTTGGAGTCAACCATTCTTACTTTAGCTGAATTCTTATGTTCTGACAATCTGAGTACCCCCGTGCAATCTACCAGTTTTACCTATGTAGTTGACTTAAGTCAAAGTCATCGCAAGGTATCTTGTAAATTGTATTATTTTGTCTACTTGCAATGACTGTGAGTGACGTCAACTACATAGATCAAACTAGTAGGTCGGGGGTAATCAGATTGTCGGAACATAAGAATTTAACTAAGGTAGGAATGGTTGATCTCGTGAAAATAAGTCATTTAGAAAGAGTAACTCAGCAGTTGCACTGCATGCATTAACACACAACCACACAATAGTGTGGGAGAGGGTTGAAATTCTAAGAAGTAATATAAATAGGTGGAGAGAAATTGATTACTGAATCCTTTCTCATCGAGTCTACACCCAACACGTGCAGTAGAATTCAATGACTCATCATTCATACCAGATATATGGAAAAATACTACTACCAATCAAATCAAGCGATGGAAAATAATGATGGAGGTATATAAACGAATTTGGAAAGTTGTGTGAGTAGTGTCTTGATATGATTAGGAGAAGCAATAGTTGGTGTTCGAAACGTGGTCATCAGTAAATATAATGGAACAATATTCGAATTTTAAACAGCAGTATTAGGTGAGTTCTTCGATATGGCTCAGAAGCTTGGTGTGCTCGTCACGAAAAGCATTACAAACACGTTACTGAAGAATTTTATCAACAGCTGCCTTCTCTGGCTAACTCCATACACGAAGATCAGATGGCTGGCTAGAAAAAAAACACACTAGCAACAAGGAACTTTGACGGGCAATGAACCAACCGAAGAATCTATTGCCCAACAAATATTTCGAAAGAAAAATGGCGATGTATCGGATGCATGTTGTGGAAATCGTTGAGAGTGACATTGCGAGCCTTGGAGACCCTTGAGGCAGCTAACCTGAATGGGAAATGACGAGTTGGCGGTGTGTCCGAGAGTGACGTAGGGGAGACGTAACCTGCATTGGGCAATCGTGAAGCCAGCTGAAGAGGATTACAGAGGAGAAGTTGAAATGAAGAAGAGCTAAGCTTAGGTAAGGCATCTTTGAATTGCTGAGTGAACATTGGACGGCTACTGAAAGATAGACACAGACGTGCAGAGTAGAAAGTTTTCTTGATCGCCCTGGTTAAACGTTGCGATAGAATCTCTGCAGGAGTATCTCCCTTGAATTAGAGACGTAAAAACGGAGGCTTTTTCTCCACTGTTGCGAGTTCATGTTTACGACTATTGTAACCTACACTTCCTCGACGTCCTACTAACGAGGAGAGAGGATGGTTCCGTCAAAAGAACCATATTTAGAAAGCTGTACTGATGAAATACAAACGTAATCTGATCAGATGCTTAGCATTTAGAGCGAGGTCTATTTGTTCCGAAGACCGCGTAGAGAAAGAACTCCAGGTCATCCGAGACATTCTAAGCGAGAATGGATATCCAGAGAAGTTCATTAAAGCCAACATAGGTTACAATAGTCGTAAACATGAACTGGTAAAGGTGGAGAAAAAGCCTCTGTTTTTACTTCTCCAATTCAAGGGAGATACTCCTGCGGAGATTCTATCGCAACGTTTAACCAGGGCGATCAAGAAAACTTTCTACTCTGCACGTCTGTGTCTATCTTTCAGTAGCCGTCCAATGTTCACCCAGCAACTCAAAGAAGTTGAAATGCCGATCATCCGTTTTGAAGCCCTGTGTTCCACTCAGAACCTGAGGGAATAATACCACTACTAATAATAATAAGAGGATAGAATATTCCTCTTTGCCTTATTTCACCTACCCCCGAATTCCCATATGATTCATTCACACACACACACACACATACAAAATGATTTAGAATCAGTAAAGCTAAAAATAGTACTGTAGCAAAGTCAGTCAGCCAGTAAGTGAGTAAGCAGTGATTCATCCAATTTCCTATTTCTAATTAGACTACTGAGATAAAAATGCACAACAGAGTAGTACGCCAGAATTGTTCCATTTGTTTTGTTTTTTTCAAGGATAATTTACTAGATTTTTATTCATATTAAGTATGTTTTTGATTATAGTACAAAATTATATCCAACTGTATGCATGTGATTGTGTTTATGTCAGCGTGGGTGGATGTGTGTGCGTGTATGTGTTTGTGCAGCTATCTATGTGCACATCTGTAATTCAGTTAATTCATTATACCCGCGCTGCATTCATACTTCATACATTTATTTCTTACCCTATTGTATATTTTAGATTTCCTCTCCACCTACTCTGCCCCTTCTGTCTATCCTCCTACCGTGTGTGCATTTGTGTGTCTTTCTGTATGTGTGTCTGTGTACGAAAAATGTATGGTTAAATTATTAGATTAAAAATGTATTTGTAATTAATAATAACTGGTCGATCGATCGGATTGATCCATTGATTGATTGATTAGTTTAACAACTCGCCTTCGTACACCTGCCGTTCTCATTATTATTGTTATTATTATTAATAATTAATTGAATATGCCATTCATACATGCATACAAGCATCATTTTAGTGTTTGGCATATAATCTCTGTTTGCTCTACAAGATTGATAGTATTGATTGACAAAAATTCCTGCCAATCATAGCAGAGATCAGCCGTTTCTATGCCTTGTGTATTGGTCTCTTTTTTCCCCTTACACTACAGTAGACTACTACTGGTGAGACGGACAAGTAGAATGTTTCACATGTTCACACTGAGGTGTAACTACTACGACGTTGATTGATAAGACAACAGAGGTCAATTTGTAACAAAGTAAACTGAAGTCTATGAGTAATAACTATGTTTGGGTTCCAAATGGAACATAGGGCTTCTCTCCACATTGTCTTGTCCTCTGATGTTCTCTTCATCAGTTGACTCCACAATTTGTCACAAGCTCTCATCTTCCTCTGACACGATCTCCTTCATGTCGCCCTTAGACACACGCCCAACCCAGTCGTCTCGTATGAGTTGCGCTCGAGCGATGGCCTGGTGCGCGATATCATCTAACAACAGTTTCCATCTCCATTTTCTTCGTCATATTTGTTGATTGGTTCATCCCCAAAGTTTTTTATTTGCTAATCCTTTATGACCAGCCATCTCATCCTTAGTATGAACCCCGGCGACATGGACTGCTGTTGATAACAGTCTGCAGTAACTTTTGTTGGTTTACGCGTCAAGTACCTGATCCCATATAAGAGAAATGGCTGATGTAACATTGGCGTTGAAAACTTGAATCTTATTCTTTATACTGAATGCAGTAGATTCCCAAACTGAATTCAGCGTGACGAAGGTCTGTGTTGTCTTTCGAATCCTGTCTGGTTTTGACATCCTGTTCAGTGCTGAATGTCTGTAGTTGAATCGAATGTGCCCAGATTGATTAAGGAATTCACCGTTGATAGTGATTGGTGCTACAATGGTGGAATGCCCGTCAACCATTCACTTGACCCGGGATTGCCTCCCATCTGACGTACATACACACGCTCCTAAGCCAGGAGAAGAAGGGAGGTTTGAGGTGGCTAGCTTACCCTACACTCCTTAAAGAGAAACAACACCAATGCTGCTAAAACCTCAAAATCCTCAAGCTCTTCGTTGTTCCACTATTTTGTGCGTCAACTCTAGAACACGTGCACGTCCCTTGAAGGCAATGTAAGTCTTTGCAAAATTTCCACTGAATCCAGGAGAGTTTGGGTTTAGTTTCTCAAGTATCAGACTAACATGAAACCAGCTTTCAGCATATTATCATTTAGCATCGAATTCGACCAATCAAGCTCCCAAAGAGAGTCATGTCTCCACACTGAAGTCGAATTTAAGTGTCTAGTTAGTTAAACAAGAGACTAAATTTCTAATATCTAATGCAGAGAGAAATATATTTTTGTTGATAAATAACTGACAGTTGAATCAAGGATATCTGCATTTCGTCTTTTTTTGGGAGGGAGGGGGCGGGGGAGAATGCTACCCATCACTACACACCATCTATGTGCTATCATCGTGTTTGCTCGTTACGCGTCATGAAAATAAATCGTGTCCATAGTCCTGCGACCTGACCAACATGTTAATACAGAGAGACTAGAGCGTTCCATTCCAATGTATATATATATATATATAAGTTATTTGGAAGATGGTGGCTAGCAGTAGAATCCAGGATGCGCACTTCGTCCTATTTGGGACTCATCCACCAGCTGGATGTACCTGCATTTCGCAGTGAGTGATGATTTTCCACCGAGGCTTAAACCTAGTACCCATAGTTTCAAACGCTAAAGCGTTATCCACCAGACCGCTTGGGCCACAGACATCGTCTGTAGCATCTGCACAAGAGGCCAACATTTCAACCTTAGACCGAGCACTTCCGTCCAGTCAATCGACGGGAAAATCTAAAATTTAATTCAATATTGTAGTCAGGATTATTTGCTCTTAAATTTTGGGATGAGTATTAGAAACAATATCACATGACTGTTTTAATGACGCGTCCTTAATAAAGATATATATGATAAGAATAGGAGGGAGAGAGAGAGAAACCAATGTATCATATAAATATATTCAAGAAAAAGCATGTTTTGGTTGAAAACTGAGGGAGGGAGAGAGAGAGAGAGGAAAAAATCCATTTGTGTCTACTTCATTCATCATTGAGTTTAACTAATATTCTCGTCTTCTCCTACTGAGTGCGTAGGACTATTGAAACAAAGAAACCCCTCGCCTCTGCATCTGAATGTTGATGAATGATAAAGAGTAACTTTGGTCAGAATATTTATTAAACTATTAAGATTCTGATAAATGTGTGTGGGTGGAAATATTTCTGATTGGTTAAACAAATTTATGACTTTCAATGTAGGACTTTGCACAAATGTGTAACATAGTTCAAGTTACCTTACTTCTTTGCGTAGGAAACAAAGGTAAAGAAACAAAAATATACGGACGAAACAAATAGTAACATGGAAGAACGTGAGAAGTATCTAGTGGATCTGGAGATCTTCAAAAATTGGTTTTTGTAGGGATTTTGTTTGTGTGGTTGGTTGGATTTTTTCCACGAGACCACTGGAAAACCAGCTGGGAGTACTGCACAGCCGCTTTGTCCTAGTCTATTGGGTCTCTTCAGGAGTACGCACCCACCATTAGAGTTCGGATATCGGACCTTCTGGTTACAAGGCCAACGAGCTAGCTCGTAGACCATTAAGTCACTGGGACCCGATCTAATGGCCAGCCAGGCCATGGATTCTAACTTCTGCCAGTTCACGACATAGCGCGATCACTTCGCAATGTCTTCTTCGATGAGTTATTGGCCTCACCTTCAACCTGCTTTGCCCTACTGGTCAATCAAACAAAATCAATACTTGAAAATCAATGAGATGCTCACTAGCGACTGGTCCTCTTCAGAGAGTGAACCTGGGGTTCTAGTGAGAAGCCGTAACCAGTAGGATACAGCAGGTTGAAGGTGAGGCCAATAACTCCATCGAAAAAGGCATCGCGAAGTGATCGCTGTATGTCGTGAATTGGCAGAAGTTAGAATTCATGGGCTGGCCATTAAACTGGCCGGTCCCATTAGCCTAATGGTTTACGAGCTAGCTCACCTTGGAATCAGAATGCCCTGGGTTTGAATCCCAGTGGTGGTTGGGTGCGTTCTGCTGAAGAGTCCCAAACTAGGCTGACGAAACAGTTGTCCAGTACTCCCTGGTGGTTTTCAGTGGTGTTAGTTCATGATGAAATGCTCCAGCGGATCGGAGATTGAAGGGATTGAACTGTGTTATTGATAGTCTTAACCTCCCGTGTACTCAATGGGTTGATGTCTTGTGTTGGTGTCACCACTGGCTATAGCTTTTCCAAACCTAATCTAATGTCTGCTGACATTCTTCGTCGAGGAAGGTGGCATCAAGTTTGATCGTTGGCTGACATTAGTTAGGGAGCTATTGAGAACCGCGAAGTACTGGACAGGTATTTCGTCTTGACTCGGGGTTCTTCAACAGTAAGCACTCACTGGGGTTCGAATTTGGGACCTTGCAGGTACAAGTCAAGGTCGTAGACCGTCTAGCCAAAGGGTGGGACCCAATTCAACGGCAAGCCCATGAGTTCTAACTTCTAGCAATTCGTGATTTTAAAGCGACTGGCAATAACCAGTGCTATCGATACGAGTATTTGTCCACACTTGTCACGATGTCTCACTAGAACCTCCGTTAACTTTGTCCTGCAACGAGCATCATATTAAAATTTTCAATATTGTCGTGTTCTCTATTTAATCTTTGGTGAATGAGTGTTTGTAGAAAAGATTTTATGTCTACTGTACTGTGAACTTCTTCGGAAGTAGTCGCTGTAAGTTTTGTTGAATAACATTTATCAGTCTTATAACATGAGTAGATTTTTTAAAATAAAACAGCTATATACTAATAACATAGTATTATTGCTACTATTATTTATTCATTTGTTGCGTTCTCAATGAAATATATAAAGCTTCAGCGACACTTTTGAAGTTCTTTCATTATCTCTTTAATACATGGTCTCCTTCCTTGATATTTTATGCGCAAGCACCCCCAACTCGTCAACTTCCTTCCATTTAGGTTGCATTTAAGGGCCTATGTAGCATTTCATATGATGAAAGTGTTACTGGTGTTATAATAAGAGTGTTGTACGCCATCCCAGTGATATCAGTGAACACATTTTTTCGAGGGTAATGGGGAAAGGGTATACTATGTCCAGTTACTCTGCCTTGCTTTTCATTCATTCACCAGTTGACTTTGCATATACGTCTCAGGGAATGTTCCTTTCTGAAAGATAGAGACCGTTCACCTTACTAAATAGGATATTTCTTCCATTCTTTCACGTACTGAATGGAACACAAGGCTTCAAGCATTAGCTTTGAAGTTTCTGTAGTAGTAGTAATAGTAGTGTAACAACAGAAGACAAGGGCCAAGCAACAGATCGTTTATTAAGGAAATCAACACATATTTATAGCTTTTCATGTACATTATTATAGATTATTGTAAGCAAACAAACACAGTACTCTGATTGGTGATTTCTCGTTGAACGTTAATCTTTCATCTCTTTGTGGCTGTTTCTTGAATGTCAGATCATCTATATGTTAACTGTATCCGCCTACGCAAAGTCTTTGTTCTCATTTTTCTCACGACCAATATTGGGGGCGTAAAAATTGACGTAAATTACTGCCTACCAACTTTGGCTAGCAGCCAGCTCTCACCACAGTAGTAGTGTAACGACAGAAGGCAAGAGTCAGGCAACAGATCATTTATTAAGGAAATCAACGCGTATTTATATATTTTCATGTACATTATTATCGATAGTTAAGCGAACAAAAACAGTCTTCCGATTGGTTGTTTCTCACGTAAAGTTAATCTTTCATCTCTTTGTGACTGTTTCTTGAATGTCAAATCCTCTATATGTTAACTGCATCCGCCTACGCAAAGTCTGCTGTGGTCGGTTTTGAATCAATCCTTGTTCACATTTTCTCACGACAAATCGTAGGAACGTAAATATTGACGTAAATTACTGTCTACCGATTTGGCTAGTAGACAGCTCTCACCACAGTAGTAGTGGTGTTTCTTTCGCAGGGTGAGGTGTGGGGGTTGTTAGTCTCATGCCCGAATTTCCCCTCTTCCCTAGGCTTTACCACACTAGCTAAACGAAGTTTAAGTGTGCGTGCATCGATCGAGGAGAATCGATTGACTAACATGGTGAACATTGAACGAATCACCGATGATGCACTTAACCAGGGTGTGTACTGGACAATTTAGTTGTGACTCTTTAAGAATGAATACCCACTCATGACCACCGCACCAGGCATCGAACTCAAGATCTTCAAGTTGGTGTCATAGGACGGCATCAATCTATGGGATGAAAATTTTTTTGCTTCAGAATTGGAGAACTTTTCAATTTTTTTCAGTAAATCTGATGTGTAATTCATTTTTTTCAATTTTGTTGTTGTTGTTGTAGGAGTTAACTGAAGTTCGACGTCGTTTTGATCGAGCACCTCAAGTGCTGTATTCACAGTCAACACCGCCAACTGAACTCCTTGGAACTAATGCAGCTGTCGGTGAAAATGTAGCCTATATTACATTTGGTAGGTAACAAGAAAGACAGAGTACTATTGATAAAACAGTTTATTTTTTCCATATATAACAATCTTGTCTTTTAGTTGTCAACCGTTTTCGTCTCACTTTGGTTATCCATGTATCAACAAATGTGTAGTGTGATAATTAGATGGTTGAAGGCAATCGGCCACAGGAAGCCTTGGACACCTATGTTTCGTGCTAGTTGGCACTCACCTGTCAGCAAGGCGTATGTGCAATCAATCAATCGCGAGTCCGAATAGTTAGCTCAGTGGTAACGTCTCTGACTGCAGACGGCACTGGGTGATGCGGGTTTGAATCTCAGAAGGGTGACTGCAGATACGCCTTGCTGACTAGTGAATGCCAACTAGCACGAAACCTAGGTCAAGCAAGGTGCTCCCTGTGGCCGATTGCCTCCAACTATCTAATATCATCAAATCAATATGCACCGCATATTGGCGAGCTACCTAGTGGCATGGTGGCCACATTGCAAACCTGACTGACTGAAAGAATTCAGTCTACACCAAACAAACAAAGGACTAGACACATTATATCAGTCACTGGTGTTCAATCAGGTGTGTTTGATGATGTTAGGTGTCCCTTGTTGTCTATGTGCTTGTGTGTGTTCCAGACAAAGCGTCCCAGTTTCGAGTTTACACTACATACTTCTTTAGCCTGACTGAGCGGTGTAATTAGTGTCCTCACAATAAGTTTCATTTAGCATTATTATTGAAGGATTTTATGGGCATAAGAGGTGCAGCACACAAAATCCCATAGTTTCTACAATGGCTGGTATACTGGCCAGACCGAAGTAGATGGTTGTTTTAAAGGATAATCCCGTGAGCCATTGACTTGAAGTCTGATTTTCAAGGCACTAAGGCAGCGTCAGGATCCTCATTGTTGCCGGTAACCAAGACAGGTTCATAAATCAGTCGATCCATTTGGATTCTGGAGCCCGTGTACACCACTATAGCTTTGGGGCCAGGGTTTTCCATCTTCCCTAGCTACACCAATACAGTTATAAGTAACTCTCTTCCGAATTTCCCCTTTCACTTTTGAGAGGAACACCTTGGATGCTTGAAGGTGATATATATAACTTACCTGACCACATAAGAGTATTTCGAGACGAAGACTGAAGTCTACCCACCCTTGGCTGTACCAGGTCGTAAATGGGTGCAGATAATTGGCATGGCTCATACAGCCTGGTACACGAATAATGTTATACTTGTGTGTATGTGTGTTGTGATTTATTAATAATAAATAGTGCTGCATGCTTTTGAAAGCACTTAAGGAGCTTGATGATGTAGCTGAAGTTTAAGCTGTTGGATCTAGACGCTACGTATTTATTAATCAATTATGTGGTTGTTCACTAGGGATCGTATATTGGCCCTACGGTTATGTGATAAGCCCATTGTTTCAAATGTTTTTCAGTGGATCATTTGGCGGATAAACTCATTCTACCTTTCCAGGGGAATAGAGTTGTGGTAGGAGATCCAATGGTCCATTAATTCTAACTTCTACCAGTCCTGAGTTCGATCCCTTCGCGAGGAGGGGAATCCCTAGCTAGGACAGAACAACTAACTTACTCGCTTAGCTACTCGACTTCCGGTCGTTGGGTTACAGGTTCGAATCCTCTCAGCCTGGACAACCCGTCAGTATCATCAGTCCTCATACACACAGAGAGAGAAACTGTGTCTCTTAGTCTGCTATATGAAGAAATTCATTCTGGGTAGCTAAGATAATCAAATCTTGGCTTTAGGTATTGGATTATTGACGTTTCATCTGTCCCCACCAAGTTTGGCAGCATGCTTGGCAATGTACACCACCCTCTATATCTATTATTATTACTATTACTCATGTTGTCCCATATTCGACAACTAGATTTGTTTTCAATTTTGTCGAGAAACATTGGAAACCAGGAAGTGCTTCTATACCAGAAGTCAATTCATGATGAAAATAAAAAAACAATCAGTCCCTGTAGTCCAAATCAACACTTGCAAATTAACCTAGTGCTCACTAGCGAATTACTACAAAATGAAATTGTTTGAAGTCTTAGTGGGGACTTCGTAACCAGTAGTAGGCTCCACCAAGTAGTGTGTGAGAAGAGATACTCATAGAAGACACATTGGTTAGTGGTGGTACTATCTCGCGAATTGGCAGGAATCAAAATTGATGGGCTGGCAATTGGATTCCGTTCCACTGGGCTGAATGGTCATTCAGGTCGCCTTGTAACCTGGAAGTCATTGGTTTGATTCCTAGTGGTTGGGGTAATGTATGCATACTACAGCGGTAGAGTGCTTACCGACCACACAGGTGGTCCGGGTTTCGATCCCCAGCCACAGACGCACTCCTCTACCTCACTGAGTCAGTAATAAGACTGTTAAAGAGGGATGGTTGGTCTAGGTGGGGCTAGCAACCCAATCCTGTAAAAATAATCACCACTGCTACAGAAACTTCAAGCCTCGAGCTTGAAGCTGCCGTATGTTCCACTGGGAACGTAAAGGAATAATAAAAAATACGTACTGCTTAAAAGTCCAAAAACAGTAAAGAAGTAGCCGTCCAGCATTTTTCCGCTGGTTCGCTAACTGAAATCAATTCGTTATAATCAGAACTGCGATCACTCAAATCAATCGAACCAATACTTAAAAAGTGTTGAGATATGTGTTCCATTGATACTTGAATTGTACAAAATGTTGATATCAGTAACCGGTTACCGGAAGAAGTTTTCGATATTCCAGACTATGGATAGACCACACTTGTTGTTTGCAGGTGGTTTCCTCCCCTCCCCCCTCCTGACTGACTGGTTTCAACGTAGAACTTTGCACCAATGTGCAGCGGTTCCAGTCGCTACACTTCACTCAACATACAAAGATAGAGAGGAAAGTAAAAAGAGACGCAAAACAGAGGCAGTAAACAGAGATATGAGGCAAAAGCAATAGTAATATGAAGGAACTATATAGTTTTATTGGATATTATAAGTCACAAAGAGTGGATGCATCTACGCCAGCCATCACCTAGAACGACTTTGAGCCATATCATCAATTGTCTAAAGCCATCATTGGTTTTTGCCATCCTGAGGACCCCAACCAGCCAGGAAGTGGCTTAAACTAACTGTTGTGGATTTCCTTGACTGATGAAGCCATGTTTTCGTTTGACCACCACTAGTTTTCTCTTTTCCAACCTAATCCATTCTATGTCAGTCAGCTAACATTGCCTGTTGTCGAGGAAGGCGATAGATGGCTAGGCTAGGCATGCGTAACACATGTCCTAACCATCTCAATTGATGTAACTTCACAGCCTCATCCATTGATTTCCCCTCCTTACCTAGCACTCTACCGATGCCTAACCTCAATATACCATTTCACACGGGAAATAGAACGCAGGCACCTATGATCAAAGACAGCTAGCCTTTTTTTCTTCCCCCCTCCCATCCAGCCCGAATGAAGTAGGTGGAATGGAATTCTAAACTAAAATTCACTAACTGCACGTCAAGGTCTTAAGTCAATGGACCACGTCTCCACAGAATGTAACACTATGGCTCACTCCCCCACCCCATCAGCCCAACTGACCAGTCCCAAATGGAATAAAACTGCGCCTCCTGAATTCTGCTGTAAATTTGTGGTACATCTTTGTTTATGTGTGTGTGTGTCTGTGAATGAATTAAATAATTGATTCATTAAGTTTGTATTATTTAATTAAAAGGTTTATTATTTATTATAATTAAATTATACTATGACTAGACAACAGATTGTACTTGGTATATATAGACTTATTATTATTATTATTATTATTATTATTATTATTATTATTGATCTCTCTAATGGTATTGAAGAATTTATGTCGACAGGCAGGCATGCAGGTGTCTTACGGGGATTATTCAATCAAATAGAATATTGTACATGAGATTTGTTCTGTTGAAATGAAGTATGATCGATTGACAATGTGCACATATGCATGCACTCGCCTACTCTCATTGACGCACACACACACACACACATACACTCAACTGTCAATATTATTCTAAATAGGGGTTATGATGGATCGTTCATAATCACCTTTTTTAGATTCTTCCTCCACCCTTCCTTATCACCTGGGATACTAATACTGATTATTGTAGTTATATATTATATAGGTGGGTTGACTGATTAAGCAGATGAATTTTCCTTATTTAGCGGTCATATCACTAATCAACACCTTCACTGGCATTACGTAACACAACATTGTATTTCATATGGATACATGTAGCAATACCTTGTAATGACCCTTCTGCAGATTAACTTACGGAAACCATTGTTACAACTTTTACTTCCTCTAAATATTCACATTTGCTTTTTTTCTGGCAACAGTCATTCGAGCGGCAAAGCCACTGCAATAGCCAAGGAGGTAATCAGTGCGCGCAGTGCTTATGACTTGCACTTACCAGGAATTCTTCATCCATGGGGAATAGTTGTGAAAGCCCTGATCCCAATCTCGACGTTGATGAGACAGTTCTCTCAGAAACCTTTTGGCTAGGTTCTCAGATTCATTGGCAGCGTTATTGTAGTGCGTGTGTAGCTCCGAACATCTAAGGGCATCACCATCGGCCTTTTTATTGCTCAATTTCATAAAAATTCAATATTCTATTATTAATTGGGTGTGATGCTTAGCTGTTAATGATGGTTATCGATTTTCATACAGGATGTCATGTTAACTCGTTAACCTCACTTCGGAATATTGAGAGATGAAGATAACGAAACATTTTGATTAATTGGGTTTTTGAACAAAGCAACAACTACAGTTTTAGCAGAATAAAACGGCACCATATTTTATTTCTTCTCCTTCTCTTCAGCTGCTTACAGGGCAAAAACATTATTAAATACACCTACAAAAACAATTTTAACATACTTGCACAGAGTTCATTTTAAACAGAAATCAATCAATCAATATACACATGCACTAATAATATATACATATATATATATATATATATGTGCAATATTAAACACAATTCCGAGCAATAATAATCATACAC